AGAAACATGAAAGTTAACTCATCAACTGGAAATTTCTGCATCTGTGTGTGGAGAATACAGTCCAGAAAAACCAGTGCATCTAACTGTCTGTGGTATTTGTGTGTGGAGAATACAGTCCAGAAAAACCAGTGCATCTAACTGTCTGTGGCATTTGTGTGCGGAGAATACAGTCCAGAAAAACCAGTGCATCTGTCTAGGAAAACTGTGTGTGGAGAATACAGTCAAGGTAAACCAGTGCATCTAACTGTCTGGGGCATCTGTTTGTGGAGAAAACAGTCCAGGAAAACCAGTGGCATCTAGATCTACAATATCTGCAGTAACATAAACCCATTTTCTGATCAGCTCACCTCGGAATCATGAAATAATAGACTGATGAAAGAGGATATTTCCGTATGATAGGGAGTGCTGTTGTTGTTTTTTAACTTCTTCTTCTTCTTCTTCTTCTTCTTCTTCTTCTTCTTCTTCTTCTTCTTCTTCTTCTTCTTCTTCTTCTTCTTCTTCTTTTCTTCTTCACCTCCTTCTTCCTCTTCGTCTACTTCTACTTCTTCATTCTCGACGCCGTCACCGACTTCATATTCATCGACTCCCTACAATTCGATATTTGTTTCACTTCTGTAGCTTATTACTAGGTGGTGCTTACTCCTCCCTGTCATCTGGCCAAAAAGCCTAGACCCCAGATCCCAGATCCCGGACCCCAGATCCCAGGCCCCAGATCCCAGACTCCATATCCAAGATCCCAGGCCCCAGATCCCAGATCCCAGGCCCCAGATCCCAGATCCCAGATCCCAGATCCCAGGCCCCAGATCCCAGATACCAGGCCCCAGATCCCAGATCCCAGGCCACAAATCCCAGACCCCAGATCCCAGGCCCCAGATCCCAGATCCCAGGCCCCAGATCCCAGATCCCAGATCCAAGACCCCAGATCCCAGACCCAAGATCCCAGATCCAAGATCCCAGGCCCCAGACCCCAGATCCCAGGCCCCAGATCCCATATCCCAGGCCCCAGATCCCATATCCCAGACCCCAGACTATCGTAGTCTCTGTCTCAGACCCAGTACTGTGCTGACCCAACCCAGTCCGGTAACATGGCGGCCAGACAGCGCCCAGAACATTCTCTGGAAATCCGGAAGCACTAACGGACATTTCTGGACACTACTGGCAGCTGGGAGACGTGACCCACTCAGATTTGGCGTCTCTAGGTCAGTGTCTGTCACGTGATTATGTTTACATTGATCTCTGGGTCAAGTCTTTGCGGAGGGATGGGGTCAGAAACACATGTAGATTGTGACAGGCATGGGTGGTGTCAGAAACACCTGTAGTGTGTGACAGGCATGGGTGGAGTCAGAAATACTGACCTGTCCGTCCTCTTCCAGCTGGGTCAGCATGACAATGACCTTACAGTCCTGTTGCCAGACCATGGTCCAGAAGTCTGCTGTGGTCTTCTCTGTCGGCCCTTGGGTGGCGATGTAGTAGCGGCTTTTGTTGTTCGGACCCTGCCTCGGGTCAAATAAACAAATAAAACAAGAAATCAAAAGGCGGGTATATTTGCTGTAGTTTGTTTAGCTACTGTTGCTGCTAATGTTATTATTACTGCTACTACTAATGCTGCTACTACTTCTGCCACTGCTGCTGGTGCTGCTACTAATACTACTACTACTGCGACTACCACTACCACCACCTCGACCACAATTACGACAACACCTGCTACTTCTTCTACACACGCGACATACCAGACAGCACACAGTTTATTACAGACTTTCTTGTACACAACGCATAGTTACTGCATACTTTTTTTACACAACACAAGTTACTGCAGACTTTCATGTACATAACATAGTCACTGAAAACTTTTATTTACATAACAGATAGCTACTACAGACGTTCTTGCACACAACATAAGTTGCTGCAGACTTTCAGGTACACAACACTTAAATACTGCAGAATTTCTTGTAAAAAATAAAAAATACTGCACACTTTCTTGAACACAACACATAGTTACTGTAGACTTTCATGTACACAACACATAGTTACTGTAGACTTTCATGTACACAACACATAGTTACTGTAGACTTTCATTACACAACACATAGTTACTGTAGACTTTCATGTACACAACACATAGTTACTGTAGACTTTCATGTACACAACACATAGTTACTGTAGACTTTCATGTACACAACACATAGTTACTGTAAACTTTCATCTACACAACACATAGTTACTGTAGACTTTCATTACACAACACATAGTTACTGTAGACTTTCATTACACAACACATAGTTACTGCAGACTTTCTTTTAAACATCACAAGTTACTGCAGACGTTCTTGCACACAATACATATTAACTGCAGACTTTTGTACACAACACAAGTTACTGCAGACTTTCTTGCACACAACACATATTTACTGCACTTTCTTTTACACATCACAAGTTACTGCAGACTTTCTTGCAGACAACACATATTTACTGCAGACTTTCTAGTACACAACACAAGTTACTGCAAACTTTTTTGTACACAACTCACATTTACTGCATAGTTTCAATGAGACTTTGTTCAAGGCAACATAACCTAGAGAGACTCACCGTGACGTAGTTGGCGTTGATGTAACTGGAGCTTGGATCTGGTCCGTCCGGGAGAAGTCTCACTCGGCTGTGAGCCACTGGCAGAAAGATCGACTGTTACCGCAATGTAACTAGCATTCACAATATCAGCAGATCTTGATGTAACACATTCTTTATTGTAACTTTATAATGGGACCACTTTCCACGCCTTTAAGCACACTGGGCATATAGGGCTAGATATAAAGTATACTTGATAGACCAGTCGGCATTTGGTAGTCCATTTGGTCAACATCACGCCGATAGCCTTTACTTCCCAGGACTTTATCTGTCCCTATTTGCGGTTGGGTCGACCTGGGAGCCAAGTTCTTTCTGAAAAATGTCCGGTTCCTTCAGCATTACCAGTGGACAGCAGCCCAGACCAAGTAGACCACAGCCCATCTCACTTGTGGAAATCAGCCCAGACCAAGTAGACCGCAGCCCATCCCACTAGGAGAAAGCAGCCCAGCCCACCAGCAGCAGCAGCCCAGCCCGCCAGTAGACAGCAGTCTAGCCCACCACTAGGCCGCAGCTCAGTCCACCAGTGGACCGCAGCCCAGCACACCAGTGGACCGCAGCCCAGCCCACCAGTGGACCGCAGCCCAGCCCACCAGTGGACCGCAGCCCAGCCCACCAGTGGACTGCAGCCCAGTCCACCAGTGGACCACAGTCCAGCCCACCAGAGCCCAGCCCACACGTGGACCACAGCCCAGCCCACCAGTGGACCATAGCCCAGCCTGCAGTGGACTGCAGCCCAGCCCACCCGTGGACCACAGCCCAGCCCACCAGTGGACCGAGCCCAGCCCACCAGTGGACTGCAGCCCAGCCCACCAGTGGACCACAGCCCAGCTCACCAGTGGACTGCAGCCGAGCCCACCAATGTACCACAGCCCAGCCCACCAGAGCCCAGCCCACCAGTGGACCACAGCCCAGCCCACCAGAGCCCAGCCCACCAGTGGACCACAGCCCAGCGCCCACCATTGGACCACAGCCCAGCCCACCAGTGGACCACAGCCCAGCCTACCAGTGGACCACAGCCCAGCCCACCAGTGGACCACAGCCCAGCCCACCAGTGGACTACAGCCCAGCCCACCAGTGGACCACAGCCCAGCCCACCAGTGGACTACAGCCCAGCCCACCAGTGGACTACAGCCCAGCCCACCAGTGGACCACAGCCCAGCCCACCAGTGGACTGCAGCCCAGCCCACCAGTGGACCACAGCCCAGCCCACCAGTGGACCACAGCCCAGCCCACCAGTGGACCGCAGCCCAGCCCACCAGTGGACCACAGCCCACCCACCAGTGGACCACAGCCCAGCCCACCAGTGGACTACAGCCCAGCCCACCAGTGGACCACAGCCCAGCCCACCAGTGGACCGCAGCCCAGCCCACCAGTGGACCACAGCCCAGCCCACCAGTGGACCACAGCCCAGCCCACCAGTGGACTACAGCCCAGCCCACCAGTGGACCACAGCCCAGCCCACCAGTGGACTACCCAGCCCAGCAGTGGACACAGCCCAGCCCACCAGTGGACCACAGCCCAGCCCACCAGTGGACCACAGCCCAGCCCACCAGTGGACTACAGCCCAGCCCACCAGTGGACCACAGCCCAGCCCACCAGTGGACCACAGCCCAGCCCACCAGTGGACCACAGCCCAGCCCACCAGTGGACTACAGCCGAGCCCACCAGTGGACCACAGGACCACCAGTGGACCACAGCCCAGCCAGTGGACTACAGCCCACCCACCAGTGGACCACAGCCCAGCCCACCAGTGGACCACAGCCCAGCCTACCAGTGGACCACAGCCCAGCCCACCAGTGGACTACAGCCGAGCCCACCAGTGGACCACAGCCCAGCCCACCAGTGGACTACAGCCCAGCCCACCAGTGGACCACAGCCCAGCCCACCAGTGGACTGCAGCCCATGAACTGAAGAACACTGATCTTGACAACAGGAACAACAACAATGAGGTTGTCATCATCATCATCAAAAAGTTGTCTAGTTAACATAAACACATCAATCGTCTGTTGACATTCACCTGTAAAAGTGTACACAACGCTTAGTGCTCTGACCTAGTTTCTTGAGGAAGGGATTGGGGGGGGGGGGGGATTGCTGAGAGTTGCCCCGTCAGTTTGACTTTCAGGATGAGATCCTCAAAGTCTCAGGTTTGGACAAACATTTAGATAGTAGCCCTTTGGGTTAAACAGACAGACAGATACGTAAACTGTCTGTCTGACATTGGTAGACTATACAGCTAGAAGAAAACTGAAACTAACTCATCAGTAGACCAGTATCCCAAGAGCAGACGTTGTCTGTGACCACTTGTCTGTCTGACGTTGTAGCCACAACAGGGTGTTGAGTGAGTAAGCTGTCGAAGTACACATGTGCCTGCAGCGGGGCTCTGTCGTCATGTGCAGGTTACGGGTTCGATTCCCTTGTGTAAGTAAAGCTTCAGATGTTGGTGTTATCCAGTGTGTACTTGCTGTATCTCTACTTGGTTCTAGGAGTGGCTTTTATTTTAAGTCTATTTTAATTATATCCTATTGCTACCACCTGTTCATTTATGTGTATTATGTCATATCCTTTCACTCGATGCAGTTCTTCTTGGTTTTCTTGTTCTTGTTGTTCTTGTTCTTGTTCTTTCTTCTTCTTGGCCAAAAGTGTTGCTTGGTTGCAGTTCCTCTATACAAACAGTTCCTCTATATAAACATTTCTTCTCTGCAAACAGTTCCTCTATACAAACAGTTTCTCTCTACAAACAGTTCCTCTATACAAACAATTCCTCTATACAAACAGTTTCTCTGTACAAACATTTCCTCTGTACAAACAACTTTCTGACGTCAATGACTGAGGCAGAAAAAGACTTACAAGGCAGGACATTTGCATATCTATTTTTGTCCTCGTCGCCAGCAGGAACCACAGACAAGCGCGCCATCTGTTGGGGGATTCCCTGCAAATATTTCAGATGCACAAGGGAACAAATTCGTATAAATTTATAACGATAATTTTTGCCTCCCTTAAGTTTCAGAAAATGGATTGATACAATAAAGTTTCATTTGGTGAAAACTAAGTCAGCAATGATCCGTTCTACACCCGTGGTACATTAGACATATGATGCTAGACATCCATTTCATAGAACAGTCAGCTCTGACTAGGTGATCTGGCTGACTTTACTTTCCAGGATTTTACCTGGTACCCATTCCAAGCTGGGTCTACATGGGGCCATTAGGAGATTGAAAAAAGAAAAAAAAAAATGACGCTAGGAAGGATTCGAACTAGACCTTGGAGAAGAGGAAAAAAGTCGTAGCAGTTACTAACACTTCTCCTAGTTACTTTGGTTGAAGAGGAATATCGCGGCAGTGTCGCATCTACTTCGAAGCCAGCATTGGTCGACCAGTGTGGTTAGTGTTGTCATTGAAGTTAAGACATTACGCCGACGTAGGCGAAACAGGAGTACCAGAAGAGTGTCCCCTGGAGTAAAGTCGGCCAACCAGTGATATTGACTACAAACAATCGCCCAGCGAATGCGACAGACAGGTGTGCAGTCAAATCTGTGAACTCCTATTAGTGGAAATCTCGAAGGTAAAGATTTGACGTGTCCAGCAAAGGTTATTTTTCTCCTGTAGATGGTTACAGAATCTTAAACCAGATTTATGGCATACACCAACTTCTTTACATCAGCTTGTTGATGGGATGAGTTGGTGCACACACCTAGCTAGTGCTGGTATATTGTACATGAATGTCTAAACAGCTCCTTTATGTGGCTCAACAACAAATACAGCACACTGCATAAAACAAGATGGCAAGCAAACATGCACTAGAGTTAACACCCTTTGTGGAGCTCTCTCAGTGTGAAGTGTAATCTTCAGTATGCTAGTGTCAACAACCACGCCCATCTTGAGCTATTTCTATTTGAGAAGCTAGTGTCAGCAACGATTGCAATTATGTCCTTTTTCAGTAATCATTTTTCTTAACATTACGACACAGTTTACAGAACCTCACCCACACATCCACACACACACACACACTCACAGTCTATCTCTCTCGCTCTCTCTCTCTCTCTCTCTCTCTCACAAACACATCCACACACACACACACACTCTCACAGTCTATCTCTCTCGCTCTCTCTCTCTCTCTCTCTCTCTCTCTCTCTCTCTCTCTCACAAACACATCCACACACACACACTCACAGTCTATCTCTTTCGCTCTCTCTCTCTCTCTCTCTTCTCTCTCTCTCTCTCTCACAAACACATCCACACATTAAACAGTCACACATCGATCGCTGATACCCGCGACCACTCAAGAGGGTACAATGACTATGCACAAAGCACCGGATAATCCTGCACATCTTCTATGAACACAGAAAACCACGAGTTGAGTGCATCACTTGCCTCGCAATAATATCTTGCCAGCAACACGGTTCTCACATGTT